TCTGTTTGTGTGCTACTTAAAGAAAACAGGCTTTGAAAACTGCAGAACAACGTTATACCAAAGGTTTCTTAATTGAAATTTTTTAGCAATCTTGGATTTTCTTGGATTTTTTAGATCTCTTGGATTTTCCAGACTTCCATTTCACACGAATGTTCCGGATGCACATATCCAGCATGCACAAACTTACACCTTCCATCCAAATGGCTAACACACTGTGTGGGGTTCTCAAAATTTTACAACAGAATGACTGACATAAAACATCTAAGTCCAGACTCATATTTTTTTTTCCTGATTTCCCAAAAGATTCTTGCTTTGTGCAACAAATCACACTGAAGGTAAGGGGAGCACTGAATGCTTCGCATTTTTGACAGTTTAGGTCACTTTTATTAAAGCATTTACATTCAAGAGCCTCATACCATAAGGCACCTGGGCTTTCCAGTTTTGGCCTATGTATTTGAGTTGAACGACCTCAGTGTAGGTATTCTCAGAGACATGAGTGGATTCTATGGACAGCAAGTGTAGCACTCTCATTAGCATTCCTAAGGCAACCCAAAAGAAATTCAGTCTGGGCATTGAAAGGTTGAGCTGATGACTCTGCCATCTCCTAGTCACGCCCATGTAGCTGAAGGACAAGGAATCACAATTTTCTTGTCTTGCCAGCCAGTGTTCAGATCTTGTGTCGCAAATCTGAACATCAGCTGCTTTTACAAATTTCTTGAGAGTGGGTCTTATTACGCTGCGATAACTTTTAAGCAAACCCCAGTTCAAGGCTTAGTCTGGAAATATAGCCACCCCTCTCCCTGTGCTCCAAGGTCTAATGGCTTCAAAGTCAGCCAGCATGTAGAGCTGGCTCACGTTTTCCTCTGCAGCTCACAAGGAGATCCAAATTGTAGCTTTTTTAAGCTGTCAGGCAGACTGCGTCCCTCAACCTTCAGATAAGTGGAATTGCACCATCTCACTTTGAAGAGAGCGCATGCAGGTCAACTGAAATGTCAAATGACAGGGTTTGAGAGATCTGAATTATGAGGAAAGGCCAGAAGAGCTGGGCTGAGACTACAGGGTGGCTTTACAGAAGAATCAGTATAAAAAGAAATGTCACCTCTGACACAGGAGGGCCATTTATTAGGGAAGCAGAAACCAAGCATGAGCAAATTTGGAGCAAACTGAGATATGGAACAGAACCATAGCTCTATGTTCTATGCAAATTCCTGTGAAAAGACACTCACAGCCTAATCATGCAACGTGCTTTGTACCTCCTGGGATATGTACAGTGCCCTCACTTCACCTCAAAGCCAGAGAGAACCGAAGTTACTTAACACCAGCACAGGCTGGAAGGTAACAGAGCACACGATTTTCTGTTTGAAGAACACACAGATTGCAGTAACTGAAATGGAACATGTTTCCTGTTAGTTTATACCTGAATTAATATATGATCTCACATAAATCAATTATGTCAAACATATGTTATTCTCATTACAGCATTTGTATATAGCATATTGTAGATTATACATATTTTTATTCCACATAAGGCTTGGATGAAAGCACACAGAATACATTACTGAAAAGGCAATTAAAGCAAAAATATGCAGTGAGCACAGTAGGTACACACAGAGATTAGTTTCTGGAGAAGGCAGGAAAGAAAAACCTCTGAGAGAATTAAGGAGAATGAAAAATAAAAACACTAAACATGTAAAGATACTAAATAAAAGCTACCATGCAGAACTGGCATGTAGCTGGCTCTTAAAACTGTTTATATGCCTGAAGTCTTAGCGATAGCTAAAATTAAACAAACTTGTTTAACTTTTGGCAGTACAAAGCCAAAATTCAGACCTAGGGAAAAGGTATGAAATTCATTATTTTCTGACATAACAGAAACAAACTACATAACAAAGTAGTAAAGGGTGGCTTTAAATTCAGCCCCACTTGGAGAAAAGAGTAGTATCAAAGGATACAGTTTCCACAGATGAAGAGGATGATGAAGTAAATACAGACCAACATTCCTGGAAAAGAGGGGCCGCCATAAGCCATGATCCCATCATACATCACCGAATTCCAGTCCTCCCCAGTCAGGATCTAAATGACACATTCCCACCAATAAGGGATACAGCGTTAGACCACACAGAGAATTTGAAAACCCCATTAACACAAAGATATACACTATCCTAGAGAACACCCCCTCCCTCCGGATGGTTGGAGACTCTGGCTGTGTCCATCTAGAAAACAAACCAAACCAAAACAGGGAGAAGGCAAAGAGGGCCTGTGCTGTAAATGTTAAAAAAAAAGAGAGAAAAAAAGAAAAGAGATATTCCCATGAAGATGATGGCTGAAGCCAAACAACTCTCCCAGACAACTATTCAAGTCTCCCCACCTCTCACAGGTGTTTCCCTCCCACGTGCCTGTTGTTTCAGGCATGCTGCACAACCTACAGCACTGAAGACAGCCCTCAGCACAGCCCTCTCCACCACTTCCCTTCACCCTGTGTGTGAAAGGATGATCCTGATGCTCTTCGGTGATCACTCCCAAAACTGCAGTCAGCTTAAAGGCCATTAGCTCACCTCTCTGGTTCTGTGAGCAGATATTTGTTCCCCAGTACCGTGGGAGGGGGAAGGATAGCTGCAGGGTTGGGCTTTGGCATGAAGGTGCTGCCCTGGGACATGGCAATGGCCATTCTCTCGTCCAACCCTGCTAAGACCTGGTGACCTTGCCATGCACATGGGCTTTAGCTTTGGTTCCTCACTCTGGGAGGGGATACCCTGGTGCTGGCAGCACAGCATGGCACCTTCCTCCTGGAGCTGTTAGTCTGATGTCCAGTCTCAGGGACTGCCAGGCTGCAGGGGAGGGGTGCAGGACCTGCTCTCCGTTTTGCCCCATGTAAACACAATGTGTTGGCTCCACTGGGACCACCCTTACCCTTACCTGGAACACAGTGAGGAGGGACTGGGGGAAGTTGTCGAATGTGCTCCTCCTGGTCTGCATCTCATCAAAGTTAAACTTGCCCCCAAAGAGCTGCATCCCCAGGAGTGAGAATATGATAATGAAGAGGAAGAGAAGCAGCAACAGGGAGGCGATGGAGCGGACTGAATTCAGGAGTGAAGCCACAAGGTTACTCAGGGAGTTCCAGTATCTGGGAGAGAAAATGGAGGCGGTTAAAATTCCTTCAATCCGAGACAGGTGCTCATGGACCGCACAGGGTATTGATTCAGGCTGCCTTCTGCGTAGAAGCAGGCGTTTCCAAATACCCTGTTAAGCAGCGAATCATTGATATGCTTCCCTCAGACAACAAGACCTACTGCAGCTAATGAGTAATTTTACTACCACACATGTATACACACAATCCCCTCCACCCTCCACCCCGCATGCACACCCAGAAGATTATTGCAGCACTCTCCATCTAAGGCTCTGCAGATCTTGTATCAATGCACGGTGATTAGTTCTTGCTGCTTCAGGGAGTTACATTCCAACCCATCTCATGACGACACTCACAGATGTTACGGCAGCCAGAACACCTCACTCCAGAGAATGGCCTGGGATAACCAACACGAGCAGATGGGGAAACAGTTTGGATGCAAACACAAACTTGTCCAAAATCTGGTATGTGTGAGTATGTGCTTGGGCTCACTCACAGATGAAGATTGCTAAGCTTTCTGGGACCGAGAGGAATGAGCAGGATATTAAAGGTCCTACATGCCCACCAATACTTGTTTTATATGGACTCTAAAAAAGACTCTAGATCCACATCCAAGAAGCCTAGAGTTCCCTTTGCTCTTTGAAGAGCCACCACCACTTTGTTGAATATCAAACTCGTTATACTTCCTCAGAGAGACTACTGCAGAACATTTTGGAAGTGCTTAGAGCTAGATTCAAATGCAGCTGGATAAAGTATTTCCAGTATACTCAGGACACCAACACAGCAGCTGACACAATGACCAAAATCAACAGATGTTTCTTCTGTCCTCTGGGACTGATACAAACTTCTTGGATACAACTAAGGTGAAGCCCACTTAGACCAGCTACTGAGAGAAGGACAAATTACTTGTGACCTCACACAAAATGTCACAAAATTCAGACTTCTGCTTTTAGAACATCTACAGTTCAAGAGAGAGGACGGCCAAGACCCAGCACATTCAGGCTGGATTGGACTGAGGCATGATGCACAGAAAGGATCTTCTTCCCCTTATGGTCCCTCTTAAGGGTTCAAAGAGAGGCCAGCAGCATGCTCTGCTGCAGCACGTCACTTTGCTGCAGAAGTTGTCAGAAAAAGAGTGCATTTTTCTAAAGAATCCACCACATCACCTGTGGCATGTAATTATTAGTACCCAGCTGGCTTGAATTGAAACTGAATGTAATTAACTAATTAACTAAGGTATAGACCCTGCCTACAAAAGGCGGGCCATTTCCTCCTGGCCGGGGAAGATGCAATGGCATCCTTGGAGCTGCAGCCCAGGCTGGTGAGCAACATCTGGTGACCCTGATGTGATACATCTGAGAGACCCTGAGGACTGTGACTCCCTTGCCGGACCCAGAGTAGCTGGAGCAAGAGTCCTTTGGTGAAGAAGGTAAAGCTGCAAGCCCCGACGTGATGGTCACGGGAGGGAAGTGCGCTGGAGTTGGAACGAAGGGACTGGGTCTCTGCTCACTGTAAAGCCTTCACTTTCCTCTAAAACCAAAAAACTGGTAAAACAAAAAGGGGGAATTGTGGCATCCAATTATTATTACCTAGCTGGCTTGTATTGAAACTGAATGTAATTAACTAAGGTTGAGACCCTGCCTACAAAAGGTGGGCTATTTCCTCCTGGCTGCAGAAGATGCAACTGGCATCCTTGGAGCTGCAGCCCAGGCTGGTGAGCAACAATCACCCATGAAGAAACTCCCACTTTGGTCTTGTCTCTGCTCAACCTCTCCTACTCTACCACTTAGTTGGTCATGACCGTTTCTCTTTTACACAGTTTTGAGCCTGATGGACCTTTCAGACTGGGCTGAAGCTTAACTGTCATCTTCCAATCACCTCATTTAGAATACGCATTACTAGCAAGCTTCAACAGCTTTTAGAGGCAAGCAAGACAGTAACATTTGCCTGTAATCTCTAAGTCTTCCTTCTACCATCATCTCTTGTGGCCTACCACCGTGCTTTGAGAACCCACCATAGCCAAAGTCTTCTACCCCCTTCTCACAAAGCACAGAACAGTAAACAATTCCTTCCTTAGAGGACTCTGAATTTCTAAACTTATTTTCCTTGGACACAAAAGTTCCACTTGAGAAGGACGGCAGACATGTCTAGTGCTCTTGCTTCTCTGAGGAAGCCTGATTCTTCAACGTACAAATCTGTTCTGAAGGTAGTGCAGTCATTAGAGACAAGGGTTCTTAAAACCCAGTTAAATTAATATTTTTTAAAATGTCAGTGTAAAAAGAAGACTTTCCTTGTCCCATGTAAGACAGGAATTTTTGTGGAGCCCAATTGCTTTATGACAGTTAGCAATCTGATCTGCAGACGGACCACCACCATGTCCTCCGAAGTTCAGCCACTGGTTCATCTCCAAGGGCTGAGCTTCAAAGAGAACTGTGATGTTTTCCCTCCAGCCCAGCTTCGGCACTTCAGAGAAAACTAGAATGCTTTAAAGTTTATCTGCAATTAAAGAGATGAGCAATGAAAAACCATGGAGCAAAGGTAAGGGCATGGAGAAGCTGTGGGCTCTAAATGTTCACACTGAACGTGCAATGTAACAGCTCGCTGTATTTGCATTTGTGCTCACAGTTCACATACTTTCACACTTTGGGAGGAAGGGAAAGTGACACCGGAAAAAGGAGAAGTTAATTTCTGATGAAACTCAACCGACTTTAGCATCCCCAAACCAGATACTGATGGGGTCCAGAATCTCTCTCCAAGCCCTCCAATGTCAGCCAGGACACACATTTTCTAGGTCTTTCCAGCAGTGCCCTTAAGAGGCACACATTAGAGCTGTTCCCAATCTGAATAGTCTCAGTGAACCACTTAAAGCTTAAATGCTGTGTATCTCAGAGCGCAACTGCACAGACTTTTATCAGCTCTGTGTTTCTTAGAAATGGCTCAATATCTGAGATCCAGTTTCTTCTGTAACTATCAAACTTAAAGCAATTAACTGAGATGACCTGGTGATGAGATGAGTGCTGTTTTATCTGTGCACTGAGTGCTAGCTAGAAATAGAGCACCATTAGAAAAGTAAACAAACCAATCAGGAGAGAAAAAAAAAAAGGAGAAAAGGAAAAAGGAGAGGATAAGGAAGGCTTGACTTGACTGGGATGTGACAATCACAATTGTCTTATCTTACTGTCCTAGAAGTCTGAACTGAGGTTACCATCTGCCACATTAGGTGGTTGCAGAAACAACATGAATACCCCCTCAAAGCGAGACCTGGGGTTACTCAATGAAACACAAGGCTTTTAAGCCAGGAATGGACGAAGCCCAGACAGAGAAAAAGTCTCTCCCTACTTGGTCCTCTGGTTAACACCCTACAAAGGAGAAGCAGTTACAATAAATCTCATGGCACCACTGGATGGAACCAGAGGTTTTGGACCAGGCAGCACACACTGGGAGGTACGAGAGAAAGCAGTGCCGCTGGCTCAGACTTATAGGGGAACAAATGTGCTGCTTAGTACCTCCCACTTGTGGATCTCAGACCCTTGAGGATGCCAGTGAACGAGGCACTGCATAACCCCAGTGAGCAGGGCATGATTGTGACCCGTTTCAAAACAAAGGAATCATGTAGACAAGTTACACGGATTGTTCAACACCTCACACAAAAATCAGTGGCAGAACTGGATTGGAACTTAACGTGCTCTTTTATTCCCTTCCCTCTCCTCTCCGTTGCCTTCCACTGTGTCTTTCTGATATTGGCAATCACAGATGCAGAGCTTAAAACAGTAGCAACAGCTGGCAGTCTCCCTGTAGGAAAGCTTCCCACACTGTTCATCCAATATTAAACCACTTTGAAAGCAGGTAAAAAAAAAAAAGGTGCCCTGTCTCTCCTCCCTACACTTAACACTGACATATCCAGCAGCAGGATTAGGTATAAAATACCAAATTTCAGTATGCCGTTGCAAATAAATTGATTTATTTTTTAAGTATAAAGGACTAAATGTAAGGATTTATAAAGCAGTAAAGGACTACTTATAAAAGAGAAAATAAGTTGTCTTCTCATGACAAAGGGAGATTTTCTGCACAGCCCTGTAAAAATTAGGGAGAATAAAACAAACAGATGATATTGTCTGTTTGTCTAATGTACAAGATTAAGTGATTCTGAGGAGTATAATTTTGGAAGAAATGTTTGCTCTCGAAATTCTAAACGTGGTTTCTAGAATGATGTATTGTTCATCTGATGGTGTCGTTATCTGTTGCTATGATATTAGGAAGCTGTATTTGTGTTTTTCCTAGAAGCGTATCATCTTGACGCACCCAGGATTTGTTTGTGCTTGGTGTTTACCACGGAAAAATCCATACGAATATATAAAAATTAGGCTACCTAGTGATATACTCTCACCAGAGTAATTTTCCTGCTTTGTGCTTTTTTAATGTCCTTGATTATCACTATTTCCATCTCCACTGTATGTCCCCATGTCACTGCTCATGAATGTATATTTGGCATAAAACACTACACTATCATCCCTCCTACCCTTCCCAGCTTTCTAGGATTATGTCTTTTTGTATGATTATTGCACTGAGGTGGTGTATTCCACCAGTATTGATAATATCATCAGTAAAGCATCACTGTTTTTAGAGCTGAGTAAACAATGGAAAAATTTGTGTTCTACTGGAGAAGGTCAGAGGCAAAAGTTTTGCTTTAATGTCAGAATATTCCCTCCTGCAGTAAGACATGAGTGGGCCTAAAATACTGCTTTAGAGGCTTGTGCTAGGGCCTTCCACATGAAGGTGAACTTCACCCACGGAGGGGAAAAATCATGAAGAAAATTATGAATAATTAAAAAACACAGATAAATCTGACACTACCGCAACCTACTTGCCAATATTTTAGGAACGGAAAAGAAGGCAAAATCCGATTAATACATTATTCATTATGAGTTATTCCTCAGCTCTGTGCTTTACACAGACTCCTGTACAAATTGCAGGAGACTTATTCCAGGTAACATTCGCTTCCATGTAAAACTGTATTTTAGTTCTGCTGCAGAATGAAGGTAAATATAACTTAGTCCTACTGCTGGTTGGTTCCAACATTACATCTCTGCCAGAAGCTTTAGAAATATTTGAGTGCTCCAATAGCTCAAACTTCCTAAAGTATTAGTGATGTTCTTTCAGCATTTGCCTTTCTTTCAGAGAATTCTCTGAGCTAGATTATATATTTTGTGTAGGAGTGGAGAAATGTCTTGAAAAAACAATGACCTCTCCAGGATGCTATGTTGAAGCTTATGCTTTTATAGCTATTGGTATATTGCCCTGGGTGTATCTGACTACCCAATGCCTGAAACAGCTACTGGTTTCCTCAGAAACCAGACCTGGGACTCAGTGACGAGAGCTTTCAGACCCAAAGATCCAGGAAAAAGAGTCACCAGAGATCCCCACTATTTCTGAAAGGGCAAAGATGCCTTTCTTGCTGAAAACTCTAGTTCGCTGGAACATTCTTCCCTCTTCTATGATCACAAGTCTAAACAGACCACTTTTTTTTTTTTTTTCTTTTTTAGTAGTTGTAGGCTTGCTTTGGCCCCTGTCTCTGAGACTGTAAACTGATTTTCTGCCTCTGCCATCTTACCCTGAAAACTATCCACTCTGCCAAAGTTGAGGCTCAGAAGCTTTAAGGGTAAATCTTGTATGGTGCACAAGTCCAAGTGTGTTGTTTTTTCTGCCTCACAGTTCTGCTGTCTTGACTGTCTTCCAGTTTTGGTCTTGTTTTTCTCATGCACTGTGTTTTTTATCCCATATTTGTCAGAAATTTCCTTTGGGGGAGTTCATAGCAATTCCGGGGACATTTTCATAGCTAAGCTTGCAGAAAATGCACTCTTTCACCACCTCAGTCAAGCTTTTTAGAAGGTGCTGACTGGTGCCCACATGGGAAAAGGCAGGCCCTGTGCTGCTTCGGGTGAGCACTTGGATGGATTTGCTCCTGTCTGGGTAAGTTTGGAGCTGATCTCTCCTACAACCTCCCCTCAAGCTGAAAAAATCCTGCCAAACCAAACTGGTGTTTTGGAGGTACCTGACTGCAGGAAGCAGCGACTGTTTAATTGACACCACTGTGCCGTTATGCAGAGAGAAGGAAGGAAAAGGAGAAAGAGGGGAGACTGGAAAAGTCTGGTTTCTTTGTAAAGCTGGTGCTTCGTGCTGGACTCCTCTGAAGACGGGCTGGCAACATCCTCCGCCTATAGCTGCTGGTGTTGATGCTATGTCCCACTCAGGCCACTGTTAAGAGCTGACATGAGCTCCTCAGTCAAATGCTGTCTTGCCTCAAAGCAGTCTTTCAGGCTCCCTTCTGTCACCAGAAAGCAACAGGAAAGGTCACAAGGCTATCTGCAGTTTTGTTTTCGCTTCGTCTTTTGCAGGGAATCATAAGAGCCCAAGCTCAGCTCACATTATCCTTCCAGACTTCAGTTTAACAATCTGCGTGGTACCAAGTGTCTCCATCCCCCTATGCCGGACTCCTCACCAACCCTTACCACTCACATCAGGGATATCCAGTCTGTTCAGCCCTCCCCATCTTGCCCCAGAATTCAGAAGATGAGTGATGTCAACCTAGCACTCTCACTACCCAGTTAGTGGTAGAAAAAGTGAAAAAACCAGGGATGTGAGTGACTTGTACCTATATATGTTGTGCATTGAGCAGTAGCCCTTCCTCATTTCCAAAGAAGCATAAAAGTACCTTGTGATTTTAAATATTCTTAGGAGTCGAACACATCTCAGCACCGAAATGCCCAGTGGTGACATGATCTTTGTCTCAACCAGAATCGTTTCCAGGATTCCTCCACACACAATGAAACAGTCAAAGCGATTGAAGAGAGACACAAAATAGGCCTGGAGACCAAGGCTGTACATCTTCAGCAGCATCTCTGCCGTGAAAAGAGCTAGCAGCACCTTATTGGCAGTGTCTCATGAAAAACAAACAGAAACAGATTAAGGAAACTTAGGCAAAAGATCATCACAGCTAACCATGGGGCCTTGCCTACAAGAAACCCCCTCTGGGATCAGTCTGAAAGGTTAACTTCATATCAGCTTGGGTCAAAGAATGGACTTCAAAAGCCTGGGCATCTCATTCACAGAAACGTTTTACAAAGATGCTTACAGAGATTCTTATGTATTGCACACACAGCTGCGACGTATTACACAACCACACAAGCTCCATGGCAGGGACATGCCTTCCTGTGCACAACCTCCCATCACACTTGTCATCTGCAGATGAGAGTGGGAATAGAAGAGCTGCTGTGCTACCTACTGTTGCTTAATTAAGCCTTTCAACTGCTCTCACCTCCACTGAGGATTCAACTGTTCTGCAGACAGAAGAACTGTACAAATCACTCTTCCTTCCTCACCTCCCTGGTAACTAGAATTTATCATAAATGCCATTTCAGGGAAAACCGTGAAAAACCTGTTGCTCCCAGTTTTTATCCATAAATTGGAAGCTGAGTTGCTGCAAATACACATTTAGCATAAGCTCCTGATTTCACCCACACCCAGTAGAACACTGGTTTGGCTGGAAATGAGGAACTTATGTTTTCCCTGAAACTTCTGCCATTATAGGCAGATATTTTGTGGCATTATTTAAGATCCTCCACAGGCAGAGGACTACTTGCAGCTGTATATTCTCCTTTTACATTGTGTGGTCTAATGCATGAGCTCCTCCCTCAGGCCCCTTTCTTGACACTGGCCATAATAAACAGAACCATCAGCCTCTCCTCACCTTGCACCTCCGTGAGCCAGTCTGGCTGGTTGTAGTGTTCAGAGGCAATGGTAAGGGTGTTGAGAAATACAAGGAAGATCACCAACCAGTAGAAAACATTGGACTTGACAGCGGCACGGCACTTTCTTCTGCAGAATCGATTCCATCGGCGCCAGTAGCGACTTGAAAAATGGGAAAAGGAAAAGTTCTTTTCAGATAGGGGTCCTTAGGCTATTGCAAATCTCTGTCAAGAGAGATTCTGGTCTTGATTTATTGTTCAAGAGTTGTACAGAATAACTTTAAAGTTCACCCTGAGAAATGTTCTCCAATTCTCATCCAAGTCGACAGTTGTGATCATCCTTCCTTTAGCTATAGGAATAAAGTTAGTCCTAAGCCAATTTGCAACATTTAGGAGTGAATAAACTACTTCAAGCAATGTCTTAATTTGATTAAGACATCCATCGCAGCTACTCTAAGAGGTTTTTTCGCCCGGTTCCCACAAAAATAATGATTCTTCTTGTATTTAATGCGTGTGGCCTGCAATGGACCTTGCCCAGCCTCAGGATAGTTGATGAAAAGATATCCACTATATTATATACCATGAATCTTTGGATTAAGTCCTTGTAGAGGTGTGGTCAAATAAAATCCATGGAACATTTCCAACATTGGGCAATGTTCAGGAATAAGCCCAATACTAGGGCTAACTCTGAACAGAAAAACAAAACTGAGGGGACCCTCGGCATCGCACCTTCATGCCTGGAACTAAGGATGCCATTTGCTAACGAACAGACCTTTTAAAGTTTGCCTTCCATGAACACATCCCCTTGTGTCACTGATTTCTGAGGGTAATTACTAACCACAGAAGATATTTAAAGCTAATTACACACCTCCTACTCTTCAGAATTTAACTTGCATAGCAACCAGTTTCCAGGCAACACTTGCCACTGTATAATAAATCTAATCGTTTTATATAGATATTCCATACATCTATGTGTGTGTCTCTTTAGAGACACACACGTACACAACACTCCAGGAAGACAGAACTTTTCTTGGCTAGTCTTCTCTTAGGTATTATTTTCAGTGATGAACTGTGGCCATGCTTGAGGTCAGGGCTCAGCATCTAGAGAAACTGAAGGCAGGCAACGTGATCATTGCACGCTGGCCAAGAATTTTGCAACAACATTTCAACAGGTAATCAAATCCAGGCTGTTTGAGCTATGCCATTTATAAAGGCGCCTATTCTAGCTAGCGCAAACATTTAATAAGGGTTGTGTGTTTTGCAGCGGGTTTGGGACAAGAAATGATCTTCCCAACTTTCAAAATGGGCACAACACTCAGGCATTCACGTCGTCACTACATCATTAGCAATCCCACACACTTTTGGGTGCACTTGTGCACAAATGTACATGCATATGACAACGTGATGATGCAAGTGTTTTTTTTCCTTATACCTGTATACAAATAATTCCATGGACTGTAGGAATGTGATCATGTATGCAACTCTTTGCACTGGGATGCATATAGGCAGTATGTGCGCATACGTGCATTCCTGAATTTACATTACTGTTCATTACTTAGATAAGCTGAAAGACAGAGTTTCTCACTTGTTCCAGTTATTCTGAAAATTAATTTAGTTTTTTATAAAGTTCACTTTGAATTCAGAGTTATGGAGGCAGCTGGGCTCCTACCGAACAGGTAGAAATGGACTGAGACCTCAACAACCAAGTTCCATGAATTCAGTCAGCCTTTCCAGTGGAAACCCACAGATGACCACCTGGGGACTGCTGCACATTTTCAAAAGCTTTAAGTCAACAGGAAAACAAATACCACCAGAAAAACTCCACATGTCCCATGGTGAAAGGGAGCATTTCAAAAATAAGATGCAAACCTCATCAATTGAAAGATTCACAATCAAGCAAAGCAGAGTAGTGCAACAAAGTGTAGGAAAGAGAACCTTGAGCTGACAGGGTTGATGTTGATGGATGTAGTATAATTATGTGGTTGAACTTTTTTTTCCTCTGCTTTTATATTTTATGGCTTGAAATACGTAGGTTGCAATCAGACAGGTGAGTGAAATACTGTCAGTAGTCCCTGTGCCTTTTTTCAGCACGAAGCTAAGAAAAAGCATCTTGATTTTTGGTAGATGACTGACTAAACTCTGAGAAGTTTAGCAGTATCTCCTAGAATCACCACTTTGTCCCACAGATGCAGGTGTAAACCACTTTGCAAGGTAAGAACTAAAAACAGTGGAAAGGAGGAAAAGCGAAAGTCAGTTTTACTTACCTAAACTTTGATTTCGAGATCCGATGCCTGAAAGATAAGAATTGCCGTTAAAGTCTCTGAAGCTGTCCCATACCTCCCAGGCTTTTATGCAAATAGCAACAGAAAGAAACAAAGTTAAGCTCAATTAATTTTTTAATGGATGCTGTTTTCCTCTTGAATTCCCTGTAAGTCAGTGTAGGCACTGGGCATGGCTAGAATTCCCTGACAGACAGATCTTATGTTTTGGAGGAAGGCATAAAGCAGAAGTCATGCCATGATGAGATTCTGCTACCTACAGACATCGGTGAACTAGCTTTTCTCTTGGGTAAAAGACTGGCCCGATGCTAGGGATACTCTACATCTGCTACCAAATTTATTTTTTCAAGTATGACTCTTTTTTCTTTTAGTCACTAGGTTTTTTTTCTATATTAAAATATGTGTGACTTTATACAGACTGACTTGTTGCTTTCACACATCACCTGTCGCTTCAGGATATATAAGCACATTATGAAACCACAGGGAAAATAATGATTTCTTTTTTTCCAGCTGTTGAGGGGGAAAAAACAGTGCATGGTAGATGTTTTCAAACTGAGATAGCAACACTTATTTTTGTTCTGTATGTAAATTGGTTTGAATTTAAAAGGGTCTGAACAATCATAGATTCTGTTGTTATCAACAATGTTTTGGAAATTAAGCATTCCTGAAAATTTGGCCATGTTCCCACTATATATGTGTTTAAATATCCAATTCCATGCACTTGAATTTATTCACCTAAATAATCTCTTTAGCCTTTTATGACAAGTCACAGGCAAATCTGGAGATAGACCTCACCTGTCTAACCACTACCTATTGCTCTGCTCGATGCATGTCCTGTAAGACCTTTGAACTCTTGGGCTGTCTAACGGTGCCCAGAGAGAAAGAAAGGTGTGTGGATGCTATGACATGAGTCAGAGGTGAGTTTGGAAGCTGCAAAATCCACTACCAATAACAGCAGAAATGAGAATCTGGGGAGTGAATACGAACAAGAGATTTCTGCTGGGTTCAAGCATTTCTTAAGGTTCTCTCTATGATAGGAAAGTGATTCATTGTCGACAACAGTCAGCAAAGGTCTACTGTACTGGCTTAAAAATGGACTCACTGTTAGAAGACATGGGACAAAGTAATTCTCAAATCATCTAACGCTTCTTTCTGTAGCAGCCTTAAAAATGGTCATGTCCCTGTCTGAGGACATCAGTCACTGACAAGTAATCAGGGATGGGTCAGTTTCCTTACGTGGAAATGATTTTAGTAATAGGAACATTTCACCAGCAGATGGTCCAAGCC